AATAAGGTAGCACAAAAGTAACGAAGATATTCTTTCACTCTTGATGAAAATATCTGAATTTAATTAACATGCTTTTTAGTCGCTAACTTTCTCGACTAATTCTTCTGGTCAATCGTAACCCCTTTTGTAGATACCATAATAAATGAACCACCGGGCTCCACGAACCGCAACTTGTTTATTTATTATAGTTTTTACACTTAATTTAAGGTGTAAACAACTGTATGCATGGTTTAACAAAATAAAAAGATAACCAATATACAACGTGTCACTGAACACCTCCTTGTCTGGTTCAACCATACCGGTGTGTTTTTTCAAAAACCGGGTCGAGACGAGCCACATCAAATGGATCCGACTACCATGGCGGTAAACTCAAATAAGGGTCACTATAGCTTCAATAATGCCCACAAAAAATCAGTTCAATTAAAAAAACTTCAGAGATCACTTAAGATTTTAACGAATTTCCGAAATTGATTATAGCGGGGATAGTACACAAATTTCTTGGACTTTTCGGTAGGAGAAACGCGAATGAAACAACTACTAGAAGATTGGCTGCCAAATTTGAGCAAACAGGTACGGTACAGACAATAAAAAGATAGGTAGTGACGTTCATCCGAAAATATTACTACTTCAATGTGTCGTTTAAAAAAAAAAAACAATGTAGACGATTTTAACAAAAAATGTACATTTGTATACATTTAAGATTCAGCTAAGGCAATAATTGAAACCAGATGACCAGTTAACGCCGGATATTCGTTGACTGGGTGTTGGAGAGTCAACAAATGGACCCTGATTTATCTAAGAAAATCAACTTTTGCGGCGTATCCATCTTAGTGGTTGTGCAAAAAAGCAACCCTGGCGAATTTGGGACAGAGAAAATCCGCGGCTCATTCAAATCGATCACTGTATGCCTAAATAGTGACATTGTGTGGTGGATTTTATGCTGGTGGAGTGATTGGTACGTTCTTTTTTGAAAATGAGACTGGAAACAAAGCGACTGTCAGTGAGAACGATATCAAGAGAATCGATGTTATTGTGACTTCATGTCGGAATTTATTATTTTACTAACAGATGTCACAAATACATACAGAGTTTAATATTTGACCAATAGATGTCGCGACATCGATAATTTGAAATTATCTAAGACTGATAATTAAAATGGAATTTATTATTCTACTAACAGATGTCACACAAACATTCATTTTAGGCGGCAAAAAACAAATATAATGAAAATACACAATTTCGGTCAACATAAAGCGATTCGAAGGATTAATTGTCCGGAATTTTTTGTCTTGGGGATATTTTGTCGGAGGATATTTTTTCCGGGTATATTTTATCCGGAGATATTTTGTCGGGGATGTTTTGCCGGGTATATTTTGTCGGAGGATGAAGACGTCTGATACCCATTTTCGATAACATGAATTTGGATGACAAATGCGGTTCCTGCAGGATAGTGCCATTGTACGAATTTAATACGACTCATCTCATGTAACAGTGAAAAGACTTGACCATCAAGACAATGCGATTTGACGCAATGCGACTTTTTGTCTTGGTGATCCGTAAAGTCTGAAGTTTATTCTACTTAAACTAATTCCTCAACTAATGGTAGAAATTGGAAGAGTTTTGGGAAAACAGAATTATATTAAATGAAATCGTTTATTCAAAATTTACGGAGGACATCTGCCAGATATTCTTTCCCATAATTAATGACAATGTTTACTCTTCGAAAACATGTGAAAGCATTGCCAATTAATATTTTTTCCTCAAACGAAATTCTGCGTTCGTTTTGAGACACCCTTTGCTTTTTTATGTACTCTTAACACATCTTAATATCTCTTAATAGAAACTAAACATACATAGCTAATTATACAATAGAAAAGTAGGTATAAGTAACTTTAAAAAAATTGGAAAATTTCTTTTTAAAATATAGAGTGGATTGTATTCAATTAATACTAACGGTTGAGAAAAGTGTACCTATCCTTTAGGAACTAGTTTCTAAAAAAATTATTCAACGTAAAATTCAGTTAAATCGAAATTTTAAGAAGTTATGATTAATAATGTTCAAAACTAATAGGAATTAAATTTGAGTGAATTTGACATATCTTTCCATCAAAAACAATATCATAAAGTTAGTGCGCAATTATTTTGTTGCTTTGGTTATAATTTAATTACTGTAAGTAACCTTTCGAGTTACAAAACTACGAACTATCTGGTGCATGCAACAGTTTCAAAAGCAATTAAATATACCTACATATGTATTATTAATGGAGTTCAACAACTAAAGTAAAATTTACAGTTGTAATCTCTCTATAAAAGCAATGCTATTTTAGACTTTGTAGAAAGGGAAACAAAAAACAAATAAGTTTTATAACGACCACTTCTAAACATCTAATAGGAAATAAATTACAGTTTATGTAACTCTGGAAGCTGTCGAAACTGGAGAAAAGTTAAGTTTCGTTGAAACTGAACTAAAATAGATATATTGTAACAAAAGAAAATCATCGAAGTTAGCGAAAAGGGCTTACCTATAGCACACCACGAAATAGAATCAAACAGGTTAACTGGAAGAAGTTTTGGAGTTGTGGAAGTAAAGGAACAAATTCCCCGGAAATAAGACCTGCCAAACTCGTAAACAAGTTTTAAGCAGGATACGAGATCGTTCAAAAGCAACTTGAAAGTAACATGGTTGTAACAAAAACACACAATCCACACAAATCTTTCAGAATATCAATTTTTAAAAAGATAATGAATCAATTTAATTTTTAAACAGTTGCCCTTTTAAACATAATAATAATTACATGGAAAGTGTTATTCAAAATAACCCGTGTAGTAGCGATGCATAAAGTAATTTCACTGTTCAGATTTCTTGATCTGTCCTAAAAACACCTTTTCCCAACATTTCACTACTTCATTGCAGTGTTCTCCGCAGAGCCAGGGCCAGTTGTGTAATATCGACCTTGAATTATCTGCATTACAAGGAGTAAGAATACCTACAGGAAATACTTTACTAAACAAAGAGGTATTATGGCAACTGCACAACCAATTGGTGACTGAATCTTATCAAAATTGACAATATTCAGAAATTATGAAGTAAACTAAACTATGACTGATTAGTATTCCGAAACATTTGACAGATAACATACCTGGAGGCACTGCAGACTGTAGAGTGCATTTTGTGATAGCCAACAAGGTAGAGGGTGTAAAAACTATTCACAAAAGTACGTCAGTTAACTAGCCGTGAATGATTGAGAACACTTGCAAGTTTGGCGGCCGCGTTATCCGATCGCCCTTCGTTATCGCAAGCGTCAAGTGGTGAAAACATGTACCTACTCCTAACCTTCGCAGCAGTTGGTACACAGACAAGCCAACTGCACGTGTGAGGACTAATATAGTCTATAGCGTAAGTGGGGTCGTGGGGCGTCTTGCGAGAGTGTACATGTACACATGATACTCCTAAAGGATTATAGTCATTCCCAGTTAGCGTTTCCAGGTTGTATAGTGGGATTCAAAAAAACACAGAAAGTGTGATACTGTATCGAGGGGGTGAAAGCCAGCAAAGATGACAGGTCGATACTGACAAAATCGTTTTGCAATTAATAGAAGACAATCCCGGTTTAAGTATCCAAGTTACTGCACTACAACCAGAGATTTCGTTGCCGTATAAAATAACTCCACCACAACGTGTAGCGACGCTGCGTTACACAATTGTAATGGTAGGTAATCCTGGTCATCATTGCTGGGGCAATTGGAGCTCTCTTTAAAGTTATTACCCTCATGTTTATGAATATTACTGGATGGTAATGTACCATGTAATTGCAGAGACACTACCCGAAGTTTGACCTAGGTATGGAGTGGTATAGTTAAAAATAGTAGAAGTATCTTTTTAAAAATATAATTAAAAAATCACTACTTCGTGAGTCTAACATTCACCGTAACAACCTCGCAATTTCTGTAGCTATCTAAGCTTAATAAACGAACGTACAAATGTACAGCTTGTAATCTCTGTAAGTTTTCAGTGAGTTGTCCTGTTAAATTGACTACTAAGTGCAGTACTTCTGAAGAAACAAATAATACTGTACAAAATATAGAGTACTTACTCCATACATAATTGAAGTGAAGCTTTTTATGGGACGCTATGGAGATTTTGGGCTTGAGAGTATAAACTTGTCGAGTTAACAAACTTTGTTAAGTAAGAGAATCGGAAGAATTATACGAAGACCTGCACGAAGAGAAGATGCTGAGAATAGTCGCCAGCTACCAGTCTCAGTTTATCAGTCGTTGTAACTAGTGTCACTCTTTTTAATTAAAGAATTCATTCATTACATCAACTCAAGAATATCTTTATATTGTTCTATTATTAATAGTGAAGTTCATCAAATTCCATACAAAGTTTCAACTTGTGACGCCGTTAGTTTTGTTTGATGTATAATTATAGTTATAGTGATTTAACGTCACTGTGGATTATATTGCACTTTTTTAAGAATAGTTAAATTTTTTTGGTACAATTGCATGTAATACTTTCATCACCCTTTTGTATCACACATACATTATAGGAAGGTTGTTAAGCCTTCACGCTTTTCCGTTTTTTATTCTATTTATATACTGTGTTTGCTTAGTATTTTCCTTGCTGCATGCCCTGCAGTGTACGTACACTTCTAACCTCTTTAATTTTTAATTTTTGCTATTGGAATCCACCAGCATGCGTACACCACCTAGTGGTAAAACTGTAACTTGACTAAAGGACAAACTCACATGGGTATAGTGCATGTGAATCGTAAAATTATTTATTAAAATCATGAAACGCGCTAAATCTTCTTTTCTTGTGTAGGATGAGATAAATTGGTCGAATATAGAACGCACGCGATATTAGTTACAAATAAATGTACCTATGTATGGAGAGGCAAAAGAGAAAAACACTAACATTTAAGTAAAGTATAAATTTTTAGGCTTGACTTAAATTATTAACATTTACTTGCTAACAAAACAGTAATAGTTTTACTTACATTAATATCCAACTTTTTCCTGTAAATATCTCCCATAATTCGGATGCTTTTCGCATAAGTTGCTTGATCCCCTGACACCAGTGCTAATCTAGTTGCTTCCTAAAACAGAACCTTATAACAATGATGAAATTTTATGAAGATTTTGACTTCGAAACCTAATTACCGAACAGTAGTCGTGTGCATCCCCTAATTCTCCTTGTTTCCTCAATGCTGATGCCATTTGTAAAAGAGCAGACCTGTATTAAATAGTAATGATTATACATAGATACTATTCTTACCCAATCAGGTTTTTAATTAAAGTACCTTCTACCATATGTGGCTTTTAAAAATTTTTTTAGCAAAGAAAACCCAGTTTCATGTGACTGTAAAATGTTAAAAAAATATTTTTCTTTATTTTTCAATCTGCCGCCTATTGTAGGAAGCAAAGAGTTCTTAATTTGAAAATTGATATTTTTAACTTATTTCTCACATTTTAAGAATCCATTCTAAAATTGTTTTGATCATATGTTTAAAAAAAGTTATTAATAATTATTACGACTTTACGTTATTACTCATTATCTTTTAACAAAATATGGTGGAGGTGCTAAGATAACCCTACTTATTAGAACAAATTATGGATAAGATTGATAGCGTAATGTGCTACCAATTAAAACGACCGCGTGAAACTAAATATTTCTATTAGTTGTTCTATAAATGCAATTGTTATAAAAACAATAAATGACAATAATTAAAATAATGTAGCTTAGGTTAGTCCTGATAAGTTTTTATTCATGTCTCTACAATTTTATGGAAATAGATTCAGCCGTATCGAAGATTAGTCCGTAAAAACAGATATACAGATCGACAGTCAAAAAAAATTTTAAAGGTCGTTTGTATTAATAGCATTTAAGGAACCACATAATATATTAATACGAATAGACATTTCAATTTTATTTATAGGTGTGCATATAATGCATGAACGTTAACCAGAATCGCTTTAGTGGTTTAGCGAAAAATACGGTCATGTCCTGTATCAAAATCGTGAAAAAATAATTTATTTGCATTTGCATTTATATTTCATTTCGTAAGCTATTTCTTTTCCAACGCTTAATGTGCTTTTTCTTAAAGACAGGGATTATAATAAATTTACCTGTGATGCTTAGAATTAAGATCTCCGGTTTGAAGGGACCTAGACATATCGTACGCTTTAGAGGCATATCTGCCACTCTTCTCCGAGTCTTGAAGTCTGCTAAACAACTCCGACAATTCAACGTAAACCTGTAAAAAAATTAGAGGATAAATAATAACGCTTTTAAAAGAATATCAACACACATTCAAGATACGAGATCTATTCAAAAAGTATTGCGAATTTTGAATTGCCGGGGGTTAGGTATATTCGATTTTTTTGTGACGTCATGTTGGTACTCATTACTCTCACTTATGCCGACAAGTTTGGTCATATTGAAATTCAGTTAATTTTAGACAGCTGCTTTGCTTGCACGTGTTTCGGCTCGTCTTCGATTTTTGCCTATTCCAAAAAATCGATCAAAGAATCTGTATCACATTTTGTGAGAAAAACAAAATTAAGTGCCCGGATGCATTTCGAATGTTGACTGTGGTATATGGTGAAGTTACCTTGAACCGAAGCAACGTTTATTGGTGGTACAAAATGTTCTCAGAGGGCCGAAAAATGTGAACGACGAAGAGCATGCCCGACACCTGAGCACGTCAGCAACAGACGAAAATATCGATGAAGTAAAGAAAATAGTATTGGCCAATCGTCAAATCACCGCTAGAGAAGCTTCTGAGGACCTACACATATCGATTGGCTTCTGTCATTCGATTTTTACTAATATTTGAGCATGAGACGAGTCGCCGAGTTCGACAGAATACAGACCACTTCGAATTATTTTATTCGATTAAGCTAACGTGCCTAACACGTTGAGGTTAGCTACGCCGAGATTCGTTTCAGCAAGTAGATATCCACACAAGTGGACCTTGTTAGAGCATACGTAATCCTAAAATGTAGCATCGTGCTACAGATGGCGTTTACTGCGCCATTTGTAGTAATTTCTTGACCAAAAAATATTTAGAATTGGGGTTTCACTTCATTCATGTACATTTTTTTTTAATAGTACCTCATTCCGAATTCTTAGGTTTGTTCCGTAACTGCGTTATATCTATATAATATTTCAGTCAGTCGGTGGTTTCTTTTTTTTAATTTTTATTAATTTATTTTATTTAAACAAGAAAAAATAGTTGATTTTCGATATTTGGGGAATGAGACAACGCAGGATGGAAAAAGCGCTAAAGATTTAAAAATAAAAAGTAGCGCAGGGTCGAGTCTCTTTTAACAAAAATGAAACCACTTTTGAGCCCGAACAGAGGCATTTGGAAATTGGAAAGCGATTTTAATAAAGGTGTATGTCTGGAGCACGGCCGTGTATGGGTGAATGGTGGGAGCTGCGGAAAAGAAAAGATTAGAAGCGATTAAGATGTTTTTATAGAGGGATGTTAAAAATAGCGTGGATAGAGAAGGTATTAGAAACAGTAGAAGAACAGGGGACCTTTTGGAATTTAATAAAAAACAGGTCACATATTAAAAGCAGAAAACGGAGTTAATAGGGGTAGAGGTAGTCGAAATATTTTGATTGAGCAAAATGCATTCAAAATGCAACCTGCTAAGCTTAACGGAAAGTATACTATTAAGCAAAGTACACGGTAGCATAACCTAAAAGCTTAACTCGTGGTATAATGGAATGTAGTTTTCATAAAAGAACCCATTTGATTTTTCATGAAGAAATAATTATCTTAAACGAAAAGGTGATATGAAAATCTTCTGTCAGTTACGAAATATGGGTTTACGATTATAAAGATTTGCCTCTGCTCTCTTTTCTAATTATTTCTAATGCTTTTTTTTTTCTTAACTCTCTTTTGCGACGCTAGTGAATTTGATGTGCTTCTATTTTAAGGATATCAACCTTAATTACAAAATGGCGCTTTGACAATTGGAGTAAAGCTACAAAGTCACTTTCCATTTACTGAAAATTTGTTTTTTAATTACTTAAAAGGGATTAAAACAATAAAAAGTAAGGGTAGAAGTTGTTGTAAATGAAGACTTACAGAAAACTTCCTTTAATTCTTTTTTATTTTGTATTAAAGCAAGGAATTGATTTTATCGTAATAATTGTCGTATATACGCCATTAAAAAATTTCCATTTTATTTTTCCAGTAAGAAGAATCAACGATCGCACTACATAAAAAGGAAAAAGCTTTGAATCATCCTATATGTATCATTCGTCATAAACATTGAGAACGTTCCATTCAACAATAAAAAACGTCCCATTTAATTGTAAAAATATCTTAAGAAAATACCAGTCTGTTAGTACTAAAAACACTTCTTCAAGCAAAAACAGAGCTGCAACGCTAAAATCCACTGTTGATTCATTTTTTATCTGGGATTGCAGGAATAAGTATTTGCATCATTTTGTAAATATTTAGAAGCAGATGTACACAATATTTTTGAATTGAATTGATCTCTCTAGACGTTCATTTGCAAAATTCTACGAAAAATACGGACAACAGTTGCTTTCGGGCATATATACATATGTTACATCATCATCATAAGGTTGTCAGTCCTAAGACTGGTTGAACACGCCCCTCGACTCTTTCCTAACCAGAGCTAAAACATCCCACATCCTTAACTATTTGTGAACAGTAATCTAATCTAGGTCTACCTTTATTCCTCCTAACTCCTGTTTATGCCTCTAATATGTTTCTGACTAGACCTTCATGCCTGAGAAGGTGTCCTACCATCCTATTTCGCCTATTTCTTATTGACTTCCATAGAGTCCTTGATTGAGATTCTTCCAATTTCCCTACTTGCCTCATTGTCCCAATATTTTATGCTCCAGCTCGTGAAATATTGCACCTACGCCTATTAAACTTATTAATGACATCCCCCGGGTACTACCGTCCGGACATCTGAATGGGGGACCAGTTTATGTCCGGAGTGCTTTACCCCAGAGGACGCCGCCGTCATTTGAGTTTGGTATGTTTTTCTTGGGATATCATAATGTGGTGGTTTCCCGTTGCCTTCCACATCGCAGTATTGTGCATCAGAGTGCCATACCGATCCTCGTGATCTCTGCCACCCTGAGTACTGAAAGAGCAGCTGCCGTCTTTAAGAACCCCCTCCCCATTATAGTTGAACCTATAGTCCGGCTTCCTAAATCATCGAAACTCTAGTTTGTACTAGAGTTTGGTCAAGGTTCGAGTCCCGTCGAAACGGATATGTTACAACGAAAGTAATAAATTCGGCTATTATATACACTGTCTAGCCATTATGTATAATATCTACTTAAGTTTGACAAAGAGATAATTGACAGAGTTAATCACTAACTAGGTATTTTGTATAATATCTAGGAAGACTTGAATAAAGTAATAAAACATAGATTTATGACAGACCGGAGCTTCTTTAATACCCTTTTACCTTTAATACCTTTAATGATTAATTCTGTGTCAATTATCACTTTGTTAAATATTGTGTAGGTATTCTACATAATGGCTAGACAGTGACACATATATGAATGTCTACTAGGGTTACTGTCTATTTTCACTAGAAATATCCTCATTTTAAAATATCATATCATCATCTTATTATCCGTTTACTAAAAAGTTCATTACAAATTCAAAAAATCTTAAAAAAAATGTCTAGTACCTATATGTAATAATTAATATAATAATAACGAAGATAATTCAATAATATGCTCGATGTTCATATTTCATAAGCAAATTTTCCTGATTATCTATTTGTTTTGTATCAATTGATCATAATGTACGCATGTGAATCACAACAAAATACATAACAAAATTATTTTATAGAAGTGTTTAATTTTTGTGTACCCTATTTGTCATTAGAGTGCAGATCATAACGAAAAAAGAGGTTATAGTGACAGGAAGTTTCAATTTTTGTTTTTAAATATAATGACATCCTGTACATTGCTATTTCATTTTTTTTTTAACATGGCAGTTAATTTTCCCGTACAAAATTGTATGAGATTACACCTTTAGAAAGATCGTTAATAAACCATTATTTAATGAACATGTATCCAGATGTGGTAGAATGACATCCCAAAACAAAATAACAATCCTCATTTGCATACAAATTGTATTTCATATTCGTCTGCTTTTGGGGTAATTCAAAGCAGCAGAGTGTAATGAAACAAACAAAACAGGCGGCCGAATTCTTTTTTGCAAAATTTTGTTCATAAATTCTTTTATTAATCTGTTTGACTCTGCTTGTATTTTATGTCCACACTCTACTTGACATACACACGGCGTTTCTGAAATAAGCAGCAAGCATTAGAGGGTGCAAATCAGATGCAATAAGGAATTGCTTGGTAGATTCAGCAGCGTAGTTAAAGGTAATTTTTTTTTTTTTTTTAAGAAAACCACAACAAATTAGAAATCGAAGCCGGTCATGTACGTGAATTGTCAACGTGGTGCGTACTGCAATAAAAACTGCAGTTACATCAACGAAGAGTGAAATAAACTGTGTCGGTTGTCAAACTTTTAGGGTAAACAAACAATTTACCACTACACATAATATTTAGCGCTTATTACGACAAAAATGAATTATATAAATACATTTGTTCATCGGTAATAGCATGCACACTCAGGCCCCTCTTTTCCATTGGGCACTCTGGGCAAGTGCCCAGGGCCCCACGATCAACGGAGGCCCCCTATATAGTTCCTGCCAGATCCATCCACCAACCAAAAGCCGATAATTATTTTAAGAAAATTAATCAATAATTGCTGTTAGAATGTTTACTTGCATAATCGCTTTTGCATGCTATAAACACGAGCATACCTAAATTAAAGTAGAAATACCTTACTTCCCATAAGTGATAACCCAAGCGTGCATCTAAAACAGCGATTGAGTTTATACAAGGACACTGGTTATTGTTGACATTGTTTTTCGCTTGATAACTCCAAATCCCGAGACAAAGTTGCAAAGAATTTGCTGCTATGAAGATGTTAACGAGAAAGAGTTAGAAATAGAATGTCTATTTTTGTCAAACTAATAGTATTCCAGAAGTTTTGATAAAAAACCGAGTTGGAAACACATTTCCAAATGTAGAAATTGCATTGAGAATCTTTTTAAACATGATGGTAACTAACTGTAATGGCGAACGCTCCTTCTTTAAACGGAAAAGAATAAAAAATAAGTTAAGACGAACAATGCTTCAAGAAAGATTGATCAGTCCATAGAATGG